AATCATATTGAAAATATAATTTCTTAACATTATAATTTAATAAAATTGTTTTGTTTTAAAGGTATGTATTTATCCCCTATGTATCCAGACTTTGTGGACACCCTGTACATTGATTAACCGTCAGTGATTGCAATGTTAATCAGCGAGTCAGCAACGAAAATGGGGCAAGTATAGAGAATCTGGGCCCAATTAACTGTGACGGACGTCTGGCTGTGATTGTACGTGATTGCGCAAGGCTCTGTACGCCGGCGCCAATTCGACGCATCAGTTGACTGAATTCCCGTCCGTGGATCAGGCTTCAATCAATTCTCTGCTCGCCTTGTCTCCCGCGTGTGCGAGTACCTTGACGGCCGCGAACTTGAACTCATTGTCTCTTTCGTAGGTGTGAGCTGCAACGCACGGCCAGTTTGCGTTCATGTATGCGTGATCCCAGGATGCGTTCAGTTTGACTTGTGTAGTTACAAGGACAGCTTAGACATGGGATGCGATACACTACTCCTGAGAAACGAGTAATCTCGTGTCTGATAACCTTAGCACTCTGTGCAACTGTTCTGCTGTTATATTTACCAAGTCACTCTGTTCCTGCGTAGGAATCCTTTTATTCTGCTCTGAAATAAATGTAAAGTGACTTTTGCTCCATGTCACGTCTGGCTATGTTTTTATGAGTCCGCCTGCTGTTAGACGGACAGGTCTTTTTGCTCAGCGGTGTACTTTTAAACCTAAAAACTTTTTTTAAATGGCATACCTCTTTTTTATCAAAATATCAGTGAATTGGCAAAAAAACGTGTGAAGCGGACGTATTTCGAGCTGTTGACTGCTAGCTTTCATCACGAAGTGATCTCATGACAACCGACTTCTTGTTTTTGTAAACGCATACGTCGATTTTATTTAAGCACACGTGCATTATGGTGGATGATACCTTTGTTTACGGGTGGAACCCCACTGCCGCCGCCATCCGGTCATCCAAAAACTCGTTTAGACCTGATGCTGCCGGCTTGGGGACTGTGTGCGACAGTTTCGTGAACGCTTTAATCCCTTTGTCGTCTGGATTCGATTTTGGACGTATCTTTTCGTCCGCCCCTCCCCCCCCCTCCTTTACTCTCCACCAAACTGTTTGATGGCCCCCTGCACCATGCCAGACAAAGTGCGGCTTGGTAGGCAGGCCTTATTGGATGGCTGTAAATGTCCATCCCGTCTTTATGGTCGTGACTTTTCCGTTTGCCAGCCTGGTAGCTATCTGCCTCTCCCGCCCTCCCTCTCTGCAGACCTCCCGGTCCGAAAACGCGTCTGCGTCCGCCGCTTGCGACTACGTGGGGTAGTTTGGGATAGGCTTACAAGCGGATTCCCCCCCCCCTCGTCCCTCCCCGCAGCCTCCACCATCCCCCAAGAGGTCGACGTATAGAAGTAGTAGCTGACGTCAATCATGATACTTGTTAACGAAAATTCCCATATTTTATGTCGTGTGGAGAGGGTAAAGTAAGTGGGACTGTAATGCTGATTGATGTGCGATTTGGTTCCTAGGTATTTCGCCCACGCCGGAATTGACGTTTTTCCGGTCCACTGTAAATGGCACATGCGAAAAAAAGGCCTGCTTCAATAGTGTGTCCTTCCCATTTAGGAATATGGACGAAATATAAAAGCATTTGTTTTTTTTTGCTCATTTTGTAGAAGGCTACCCCCTTTCATACTTTACACTCCTAGAAAAGGGTATCTCCCATTTCTTAAAGGATTTTGAGAGTAGTGTACAAAGAACAGTTCTTTGTACATTAACCTCAAGTCTGACTACGACCTGGGGATCCAGTGTCGAAAATTTACTGAATAAATTTACTCATTTTCCCAAAGGACGCCTTTCCTTGAAAGTACATTTCTTGGGATGCCTGCCTTTCAGTTTATACGAAATATAATCTTTCTTCAAGAAGTTGTTATCTCAATGCACATGATTTCTGTAGACAGTCAGAAGGGCGCGCGTGCTCGAATGTTAGCATTCCGGTGCATATAAGGTATTTTCGAATTATACTGTGTATTAATTACTAAAAGAACCGCACCTAATTCATCCTTTCTAATTAAAATGATATTTCAGAATTCCCGTTTATAACGTTCCACGAGGTACGTCATCTACTGTATGTGAGTCTGATATGCCGATCATCCTCTTACGCAATCTTTGCCATTTGAAAGCATATTTTCTTCTCGGCGTGCATTTGCATTTTGATAGAACTTATTACGCGATGACTTCTGGACGTTACCTTTTCGCCTCCTAATCCGGCGTAAATCTGACCCTCTTTTCCCGCTCATCCTTTCTCATATGCCTTTCTTCCGCGATTGCACAGAGACGCCTCGATGATGTCCATGCGACGCGCCATAGAGGGCCTCTCGGTGGAAGAGATCAAGGGTCTGAACACGTCGGATCTCAACTTACCGACACGAATGGTGGACTTTGAGGAGGCCATAGCTCGCGTCTCCAAATCTGTTTCAGCGTCAGATATTGAAAAGTATGAAAAATGGATGCAGGAATTCGGAGCCATGTAAAGAACAAGCGAATGAGAAAGGAGGAGGAGGAGGAGGAGGATGCGAGCACACCGGTGCTGCTCGGATCCCCGTTTTTTTTCTGGCATTTCCTGACTTCCTGTCTTCTTTTATTCTATTCTCCTCCCCCTGATTCCAACTCACCGTATTGCATTTTATCAAGTACTGATCTCTACGTCTCTTAAAGCTGCCGTCTTCTGTTGGTGCGTTACCTCATTTCAAGACGATGTATTTTCGTTAAGGTTTCGGGTGTGCCAATTTGTTCTGAACGAGGGGTTTTTATCAACGGCATTTTTATCAATTCATTTTATCGGGAGGAGAATAAGCACGAGTCTTCGAACACCCTGTAGCCGACGCCCAGCGTTCCTTTGTCCAGCGTCCTTGTTCAAGGCCAGTTGTCTCAAGGTCATCCACTATCTCAGTCAACGTTCTCAGATGCGCTGACCTGCAGACGTAATGAACTATGTGGCTTAGTTCACCGGTATTTTGACCAGCCAATGAGCGTGCACCATGGCGGTAACTTTGACAAGCAACTTGCCCACGTATTTTTTGTGTTTAGTTTAATTTTTCGTCATTTATTTAGTATGGAATTTAAAGATCCGATTAAAATATGGCGTTTAGGTCGTCCACTTCAACTTACATGAGCTCCAACTTACCATGCTGGAGTTGGTTTATGTTAGTTCGCGGCGCGTAGCGCCGCGCACCCCTCAAATTTACATGCCCTACAATTTACGTGGCAAAGAAAACATTTCCACCGCAACAAATGAAGACTTACATCATCCCTGGCACGACGTAACACTGGATTTTAGCCTACTCGAACTAGCCAATAGGCGCTCGCACAGCTACTTTGACACCGGTGAAAATAGGTCAAATAGCCTCTCCCCCTGCAGACACTTGGCCGACTTTCACTCAGGGACACAGGTGCGTCTAGGTAGTCGGCATTTGAATTCGCACCTTTCCCCCAACATCGGCTGACAGCCTACACCACCAGACAGGACACTCCTCGGGTAATGTTCGACGCACCAATTGGAGAGCATTTGAACCCGATCCGCAATCCTACTTAAGCAGCTGCCACCACTGTCTCATGCCCTCTCAGGCCTGAATGGACGCAGTCAACACTAGCTCTGGCTTCGCCAGTGGTCACTACCGCCTGGAGCTGCAAGTGAGATTTTTGTACACAATAACTCTCTCTCAGTTGCCTTCGGCTTTTTCATATACAACTTGGGATTTTGGCCTGATGATTGTAGTTATCCCAGCACACTCATTACTTAGACGCTACAACCCTAACTGAACTCGGTCTCGCCCCCTACATCGGCTGGTAGCTGCAGACAAATGCTGACGAACAACCTCGGAATGAGTGCCTGAGGTCATTAAATTGGAAGTTAGTGGTGGAGCCGGACTATGAATAATCCTACACGATACACACTGTTTTGCGCATGGGCTTTAGCGGTAGCGGTATGCACCTGCGCTGCTGAATAAAATCCATTTCCAATGAATTTATTAAAACATTGTTTTTTGGCTTTGTTGTCCGTAAACGAAATGTCTGCCTGAAATTGTCCTCAGGCATGACCAGTATGTTTGTTCCTCTGAAACTGCAACAGAAACGACGTTAGAGCCAAACTTTCCTAAAAATCAAGTGCGCCTAGTTTTCATTCTGGTGGATTTTAGAAGAAGAAGAAGAAAAAGAAGAAGAAGAAGAATGCTATATTGAGGATTTTACAAACCTG